AGACAGAATACCTGCTCTGTGGTCCAGGTACACTCCTATTCTGGAGGAAACTGGACCTGGTACTGGAGTTTCAAAACTGTTGTGATGAAATGTGTAACTGTTTGTGTCATAATATAACGACCAAGATTTGTCATTGAATCCAAATCCTTTTGCTCTGCTTATGTTCTTGTATGAAACGGCTACATACGCTCCTCCTCTCATCTCCACCTCCCAGTAACAACGTCCAGTCAGACTCTCTCTGCTCAGGACCTGAAAAACACCAGAGAATCTGTCTGGATGATCNCTGGTCTTTGGTTCTGGTTCTGACAGTAGAACATCCACCTCAGTTATTGCCACTGAGATGTTTGTCCATGTGTCTCTCAGGACGTCCTGTAGTTTGTCTCTGAGCTCTGTCACAGCTGCTGTCACGTCCTCAAAGTGTCTCAGAGGACGGATGTTGATGCTGGATGAGTGTGTCGACTCCCTGAGTGCTGGCAGTGAGGGGTAGTTGAGGAGAAACTGGGTGTGATCCTCTGTGTGTGAGAGCTGCTCCAGCTCAGCGTCTTTTCTCTTCAGCTCAGTGATCTTCTGCTCCAGCTTCTCCTGAACATCTTTGACTCGACTCACTTCAGTTTCCTGCTGGGATCTGATCTGCTGCTTCACATCAGAGCGTCTTTTCCGGAGGAGATGGATCAGCTCAGTGAAGATCTCCTCACTGTCCTCCACTGCTTTATCAGCAGAGACATTGATGGCCTTCACCTCCTGTTGAAGCAGCTTCACATCTTCCTTTTGGTCCTGGATTCTCTGATGGATTTGTTGTCGACTCTCCTGGAGCTTCTTCTGCTTCTCATCTCTTTCTGCTGCAGCTGGGACTGTTTCATGGCCTTTATGTTCATCCATAGTGCAGAGATAACAGATACACTGCTGATCAGTACGACAGAAGATCTTCATCACCTCATCATGTCGAGAGCAGATGCTCTGCTGGAGGTTCTTGGAGGGATCCACCAGCTTGTGTTTCTTTAACGGTGGAGCATCATAGTGAGGTTGGAGGTGATTCTTACAGTAGGAAGCTGGACATGATAAACAGGACTTGACAGCTTTCCTCTTCCTCCCAGTGCAGACGTCACAGGCCACATCTTCAGGTCCAACATTACAGTGATCAGCTGGAGCAGCTGAGGGTTCAGTTTTCCTTAGATCCACCAACAACTCCGATAACGTGATGTCCTTCTCCATGACAGGTCTCGGTTTGAACTCTTTCTTGCACTGAGGGCAGCTGTATTTTCTCCTCTGATCTTCTCCATCCCAGTGATCTTTAATACAGTTCATACAGTAGCTGTGTCCACAAGGAATAGTCACCGGATCCTTCAGTAGATCCAAACAGATGGAACAGGAGATTTTATCCATCTGAACTCCTCTCTTCTCCATTTCAGCTCTCAGTAACGACTGTGTGAGTTTCTGTTTTGTAGAACAGAAACTGGCTTCAGCTCTGGCGTAAACATTAGGTTACTAAAGGGCGTTTCACTGGTTCCTCCTATCATGACGTCTGCAAAGCAGAGGGGGAGGGAACAGGAAGCACCTTGAACTGAACACTTCCTGCTAACCCTGAAATATGTTTTAATGCCTGAGTAGAGATAAAAAGGTTGCTCAGTTCAGGTTGAATTGCTCCATGTTTTATTCCCAGTGTGAGCAACTTTTCTCCAAGATGAAGATAACCAAAACATCTCACAGGAGACGTCTGAACGCCGTTGCTCTGAGCTGAGGATTTCCTCAGCTCAGAACCTGAACCCAGACATTGATGAACAGCATCGAGATGCCAGGAGTCTGACTTGAGCACATCAGATTATTTCAGTGTGTAACAAACTGAGCAATAATTTATATTTCCTTTGTGGTTGATTCACTTATTATCATTATTTTTAATAATAAAAATAATAAAATAATGTTCTTACAATAATAATATTTTTAATAATAGCATAATGATTTATTTTTAAAATCATAAGGCTATTTAAGTCAACCTTCTGAGTTAAGTATTTTGATATTTAAATCAGAAGGCTGCAAATAGAAAAGAGGCATAAAGTTTTTATTTAAATTTTATTAATAAATGAATGCCATTTATATATATTTTTATTTAGTTTTGCATGTCTGGACTACAAAGTTATATAAGTGTTGCTTGTTTCCAGCAAAACTGGTTTGGATCCTTATTAAAAGGTTCATTTGTTCAATGTTGGCCTGAGACTTTGTTCAAGATTAAAATTTTGGCCCACTGTGTATTTGAGTTTGACAACCTCCAGAGCAGACCGTAACTGGACCATAATTGGTCTGTTTTGTTTTTCCTAATACAGATGTGGATACTGTTGTTGGTACCGACTCCAGAGGAGCAGGGGGGCATTGGGTTTTCTGGGGAGGCAGAGTAAACAAGCTTTGGCTTGAATAAAAATACATAAACCTTATATTTCAATATCCATGTTTATTCATAGAAAATAATAAGGATATAAACCGTGACGTATAAAAATATTGAGTAATTATGCTCAAGTTTGCATAAACATAAGAATCCAATGTTTCCAATCTCTAAAGTTTATGTTTTAAAAGTAAAATTAATCTACTCAAGTAACAGTAGCAATAATAAGATTACTCAAGTAAAAGAAAAAAAAAGTACAGTGCAGTAAAACTACCCATAAAAGTACATCCCCCCCAAAAAAAATACTCAAGTAAATGTAACCAGTACTACCCACTTCTGAACATAGATAACAAAATTAGTAGCTTATATTGGTATTAGCTAGTCAGCATTTATATATCATTACCTGAATCCAAAAGCACAACTCATCTCACTCTGTTTGTTTAGGGACAAAAAGATTTGGCAACAAACCTTTTGCTGGTTTCTAACACACCCTGTGCTGCTCTGCACAGCAGGATCTTTCGTCTGCACAGGTGTAAAACCAGCTCAGGTCAGCTTAAGTTCCTGACTGATTTCCAACCCCATGCTGCTCTTGATTTGACCAGGAAGGGGCAGCACCAAAACTTACTCCATCAACAGAAATGACAAAGTAGCTCCATAAAGTAGCTTCACTCTGAGCAGTGAAGGAATGATAAAACAACAAGCTCTCACCAAGGAGACTAAAGAAACTGAAACACGCATTGTAACCATAGAGACATCAGGTCACTGCTGGCTATTTCGGCTCAATTAACTCAGCAGAGGAAGCATAATAAACACAGATCCCAGCATATAGAGGCTGAGTGAATCTGGTCTGGACTCTGTGGAGGAGAGTCATGGTTTCAGAGACGCTGTAGAAAGACAGAATACCTGCTCTGTGGTCCAGGTACACTCCTATTCTGGAGGAAACTGGACCTGGTACTGGAGTTAAAATGTTGTTGTGACAAAATATGTAACCTTGTGTGTCACAGCGCAATGACCAAGATTTATCATTGAATCCAAATCCTCCTGTTTTGCTGATGTTCTTGTATGAAACGGCTACATATATTTCTCCTACCCTGCTGCTCACCTCCCAGTAACAACGTCCAGTCAGACTCTCTCTACTGAGGGCCTGACTACATCCAGTGAATCTGTCTGGATGATCAGGATAAAACTGTTGTTGGTTTGTTCTAGTTACTTTTCTGTTTCTCTTAGATAGTAACACATTTCTGTGTGCTGTGTTTGGATCCAGAGTGATTTTTTGTGAATATTTTAAGAATCCATCTCTGGTCTTAAGTCCAGGCAGCAGAGCATCCACCTCAGTGATCTTCAGTTCAATGTTTGTCCATGAGTCTCTCAGGACGTCCTGTAGTTTGTCTCTGAGCTCTGTCACAGCTGCTGTCACGTCCTCAAAGTGTCTCAGAGGACGGATGTTGATGCTGGATGAGTGTGTCGACTCACTGAGTGCTGGCAGTGAGGGGTAGTTGAGGAGAAACTGGGTGTGATCCTCTGTGTGTGAGAGCTGCTCCAGCTCAGCATCTTTCCTCTTCAGCTCAGTGATCTCCTGCTCCAGCTTCTCCTGAACGTCTTTGACTCGACTTACTTCAGTTTCCTGCTGGGATCTGATCTGCTGCTTCACCTCAGAGCTTCTTTTCTGGAGGAGACGGATCAGCTCAGTGAAGATCTTCTCACTGTCCTCCACTGCTTTATCAGCAGAGACATTGATGGTTTCCACCTCCTGTTGAAGCAGCTTCACATCTTTCTCTTGGTCCTGGATTCTCTGATGGATTTGTTGTCGACTCTCCTGGAGCTTCTTCTGCTTCTCAGTCACATCTGTTGCAGCTGGGACTGTTTCATGGCCTTTATGTTCATCCATAGTGCAGAGATAACAGATACACTGCTGATCAGTACGACAGAAGATCTTCATCACCTCATCATGACGAGAGCAGATGTTGTCCTGGAGAGTCTTTGAAGGATCCACCAGTTTGTGTCTTTTTAATGGTGGAGCATCATAGTGATGTTGTAGATGATCCTCACAGTAAGAAGCTGGACATGATAAACAGGACTTGACAGCTTTCCTCTTCCTCCCATTGCAGACATCACAGGCCACATCTTCAGGTCCAGCATAGCAGTGATCAGCTGGAGCAGCTTGGAGTCCAGTCTTCTTCAGATCCTCCACCAAAACATCTAAAGTGATGTTCTTCTCCAGGACAGGTCTTGGTGTGAACTCTTTTTGGCACTGAGGGCAGCTGTAGTTTCTCCTCTGATCTTCTCCATCCCAGTGGTCATTAATACAGTTCATACAGTAGCTGTGTCCACAGGGAATAGTCACTGGATCCTTCAGTAAATCCAAACAGATGGAACAAGATATTTTATCCATCTGAACTCCTCTCTCCTCCATTTCAGTTCTCAGTAACAATGACTGTTTCAGTTTTCATTCCCAACAACAGAAACTGGATCAGGTGTAAATATCCGGTTACTGAAGGGAGTGTCTCTGGTTCCACCCATCATGATGTTTGCAAACCAGAGTGACAGAGAAGAAGGCAGCATTTTGAATTGAACACTGTCTGCCAGCCCATCATTATGTTTTTTTCCACTGAGTGAATTTAAAAAGGTTGCTAAGCTCAGGTTGAAATGCTCCAGGTTTTATTCCTGGTTGAATCCAAATAGAAAACAGAAATTGCAGTTGCGTTGAAAACTGAAAACATCCTGTTTTTATCTTAATGTTAATATTAAGCACAGTGAAACAGAGATACATATGTTACATGCAAATTATGCATGTAATGTATAATCTCTTATCGATCTGATCCATAAAAGATTATGGATCAGATCTTCTCTCTCACATCAATTCTACATCATGATTACTTGCCTAGACAACAAGTCAAGTAGCCTTTGATTAGTAATAAGTGGAGCATTGATCAAAATACTTGTTGACTTTGACAATGTCATTTGACAAAATTTAATGCTTATTGCTTGTTGGACTACCAACCTGTCATGCTATGTTACACAATCTGATGCAGTTATACGTGTTGGCTAAAGGACTCTATAAATAGTAAAATTGTACCTCTGAGTGACCCTGTATTAAGCTCGGTTATATTTTATTCATTGGCATTTAGATTTTATGAACTCTTCATCCATACTTAACATGGCCTTATACAGAAACCTTCACTATGACTTTTTTTAAAGCTTTTATATCTGTTAAGCACTGAATAACTGCAAACCTGGATGAGACATAAGTTCTGATAATACATCAGAAATCTGAGTCATCTTTCCTAACGGCTGTTAGTTTAATGTCTGTACATGTTGCTCCAGTAAACTAGTTCTTCATATCATCTAAATGGAGATAAATACTCACTTTTTCCTTACCATTATTTTTTAGGAATAAAAAAAGTTTGCATCTAAATACAACTCGATGAATAAACTACAAACTAAGGTCCAAATTTCACAGTTGCTATTTGTCTGGATTCACTTAATCAGACAAGTTCAGACAGGAATGTTGAAAGTACCCGAGGCCATGAGATAAAAGAAACTGTTGGTTGTTTCAGGTCTAATCGGTTGTAACTAGGCCTGTCACAATAAACAATAAATCACATGATAAGTTAAAGGGAGCTCAATAATTTCCATTAGCATGATTTACTGTTTTTCTCTTTTCTCTCTTTCTACCAAACACTGGATGTTAAGTTTTCAGTTTGGTGTTTTGGTCTCAACTAGCCCTTTATTTGAAGGACAATTTTGTTTACAAAGACTTTATAATTTATTTTATTTGTTGTTTTGTTTATTTTGGATATTTAAAATGTCTTTAAGAATGCGTTCTCGCATTATTATACCATTACCATTAGATTATTAGAAAATTGTCTCAAAACAACAATATTATCGTTTATCACAATAACTTCTGGGACAATTCATCGCTCTGTAAAGGTTTAACATAAAAGGCCTGGTTGTAATCTAACCCTCCTCTCTGCTGCTGCTTCACCAGTGGTTTCTGAAACTGGTGAAAAGTGTTTTAATGCAAAGTGGAAAATGTAACTCATGGGAATCTATTAAAAACTTCATCCAGCCTTCCATTTAAATAATTACATTTTGTTTCAGATTTTACTAGAGGTTTTATTAGCTCAGTTGTTGTCTATTGTTGACATATTTATCCTTACAGGAGCGCTACCAGTAGACCCTGGATGGGATCCTGCAGCACTGACAACCAATAACTGTCAGTGCTGGTTTACAGGAAGAACTCATGATCTTCCTGTAAACCAGCAGTGCTAAAAACTGCACCAAAGTGCAACTCATGTTTAGTGGTGATCAGACATAAGAATTGGTCCTAATCGGCTGATGTCCAGCAGGAATTTTGTCTTGAAACATGAACCAGAACACCTGAGGGATCTGGAAGGTTGCTATGACAACAGCAGATCTTTAATGAATTGTTTCAGTGATTTATAAACCAACAACAGTATTTTAAAGTCTATTCTTTGAGCTACAGGGAGCCAGTGTAGGGACTTTAAAACTGGTGTAATGAGTTCTATCTTCCTGGTTTTAGTCAGAACTCCAGCAGCAGCTTCTGGATCAGCTGCAGCTGGAGGATTGATTTGTTAGTCAAACCTGTGATATAGATCCAGAAACCTGGTCTATGTTGAGAAGGAACATAGTTCTATACACTGTAGGCTGGAAGTTTCCTTTTATTTGGTGATTTCTTTTATGTACAGTTTGAGTTGAAGAAAAAGTTTTCACTTTGTTTTATCAAGAAAATCATGTTTTGCAAAGTCTGGGGAATACCATGTGATTTAGTCTAAATCCTTCTTAATCTGCATCTCTGAGCTGTGATATACATTAATTAAAGATACAAAATATGTTGAAACATTATAAAATCAACTTTTGATATAAAATTCTGTAATTCCAACATAAGTTCCTGACACTTTTTAACACAAAAACCTAATCATTGCTTAGGTGAATAAAGATTAATCTGAGCAGTGAAAGTCTCCATGGCGAACAGAAACAAGAAGGGGCAGCACCCAAACAAACTCTACCATCACCAACAACAAACTCCATAAAGACATAAAGACTGATCTCTGAGCAGTTAAGAAATGACAAAAATGAGCTCTCAGGAACAATGATAGAGACTAAAGAAACAGAAACTAAAATACACATTTTAACCACCTGAACCTCAGATCACTGCTGACTATTTAGGTTAAATAAACTAAGCAGAATCTCCACCAGAACAGAAACCTAACTCCAGAGGCTGAGTGAATCTGGTCTGGACTCTGTGGACGAGAGTCATGGTTTTAGAGACGCTGTAGAAACACAGAATACCTGCTGTGTGGTCCAGGTACACTCCTATTCTGGAGGAAACTGGACCTGGTGCTGGAGTTTAAAATTCATGCCAAAATATAAAGCTAGTGACCAAGATCCCTGAGTCCAAATTCTTCTTTTATGTTGTTATTACGCAATAGTCAGCCACACCCAAACCTCCTCACAGACCCCAGCAGACTGACTACTGACCAGCTCTACCTAACGGGTCCAGAAAGCCTCTAACTCCTGAGTGTTACTCCAGATGAGAATGTAGAGGACATTCTGTTTAAGCTGGGAGTCAGAAAGATGCATCTAAACTCTGACTACCTTCAGATCCAGAAGTTTTGACCCACTACAGTTAATGAAACAGTCAACTGAGTTAATGGTAGCTCTCTCTCTATCAATAACATGCACTTGTGCCGAGTCTCTAAAACTTATCTAAACTATAACGAGTCCCAAGGTCTTTATTTTACAAACACCAAAGAAATGTCTGAAGCCCCCTGGTTACTAGGACGATGACCACTGATTTTACCTAAATCAGAAGAATTACTCTCAATTGACTCAATTAATTTAACTGTCCACAGCATCAATTAGACTTTAATATTTTATTAGCAAGCTTTAGCAGGGGGAAAATGACAAACAGCTTCTTCAATCAACAAATCAAGAGATTAATATACAAGGAATTAGAAATCACACCTCCCTCCAGTCCCTATCCTGTGTCATCGAACTAAATAAGTGAGGCTTTGGGATGCAGATCCACTCGTCCCCAGATGTTGAGTTGATCTTGGCAGCATAAAACTTTAATATCCTTGGTTAGAGTCTGTCTTGGCAGAATCCTCCTCAGAACAGATCCAAAGTTGAACTGGTGTTTGTCCTCCGTGGACTCAGTTCCTTATCACTCGGTGATCTTTGTCTATCCACCAAGTCCACTGCAGCCTAGTTGAGATCCTTTGGGTTGAGTGTAGGGCAGTTGTCAAATCAGAAACCCGGGCTGTGGGTAAACGGATCCTGTTCCCTTCTCCAGCAGTTCGATGTCTTCACCTCCCCGAGGTTTCAAGGCGCAGCCCTCCATTGATCCTGCATTGACTCGAACACTGCGGGACAAAGAACCCCTGGTTCTTCTCTCTCATTATTTTTATACCTTCCATGTTTGGGTGTTTATGCATCAGCTGCTTACACAACCTCCTCCGAGCAGCTACCACTCTTCCCTTGACTTCAAACGGCCTCTAGTTGTGACACAGTATAAGAGACTTTTAACTTGTAGTCATTACTTTTATCCATTTATGATTTTTCCCATTCTTAGGTCAAGATTCCTTTTTGCCTTCCAACCAAAACCACATAACTCATAATCAACATCAATTCATAGTGCATTTAAATCAAAGATTACATAATTTTCAATCTACATTAAATCAGAATACAAGATTACTTATTGCCTCTAGGTTTATGTGACCCGTTTTCTGTGTGTCCTGGAAAGATCTCAGTCAGTCCCAATCAGGTTTCATGACAATGTTGATGTTCTTAATGTATGAAGGTGATACATCAAAATTATCTGGTCTTTGGCTCTGGTCCTGATAGTAGAACATCCACCTCAGTTATTGCCAATGAGATGATTGTCCATGTGTCTCTCAGGACGTCTTGTAGCTGTGTTAGTACGTCCTCAGAATGTCTCAGAGGGTCCTGTCACTCATGCATCTCAGAGATAAATTAACCAACATGTCACAAAGAAAGGAGAAAGAGATGGGTGGGTCAGAAAAACTTAGGAGGTGAAAAACGTTAGTGCAGGATGCACCAAATTACAGATATTTTCCATGGTGGCCAAGGTTTGTAACGGCACACCACCAATCAGCACGACTACAGAAGGTTTGCCCTACTATCTCTTCCCAAAACTAGAATATTGTGCACTTGTGTGTTTGGATGTGTTTAGGGCACACAGACAGCAATGTTGCAGCAAATGTGTATAAATAATTAATCTGCTTAGTCAATTAAAATCAATCCATACTGACCAGAAAAGGGTTCACATTTCTTTACTACAAAAGAAACCTTTTAAGAGAAAGTCTGTGTTCAGAATAAAAGGATAATATCTGAATTTACATACTATACATCTAGTTGTCCTGTTCTTTTTCATCAGTTTTTCTCCAGCTCAAGAAAAATACAAATAGTCACTTTCTGTGTTTTTAATGCTTTTCTTAAGTTGATTTTTATACTTTATTTGTGTTGTAACATGAATTATTTACAAAAGTGCTACAAAGTTTATAATTTTTGCAGCTACATGAAAGATAAGCAGTCAGAAAATTAGGGATAGGTTTTAACGCTTGTGCACGGGCGTGGGGTCGGTTGGACCCCATTTGTAAACACAAGGGTTAAGATGGCAACATCTATTGTCATGCAGTTGAAAGTCATGACAATTTGCTTTTGTGAGTGAAATTAATGGATGTCAACAAACAAACAACATCTCCATAACGACAGCTGATGTCTGAGAAGTGAAGAAATGACAACAATGAAGGAGACTGAAAAACTGAAACTAAAATATGCATATTAACGAACTGAACCTGAGATCACTGCTGACTATTTAGGTTTAACAAACTCAGCAGAGGATCCTTCAGAAAGTCTAATCCCAGCATGTAGCGGCTGAGTGAATCTGGTCTGGACTCTGTGGAGGAGAGTCATGGTTTCAGAGACGCTGTAGAAAGACAGAATACCTGCTCTGTGGTCCAGGTACACTCCTATTCTGGAGGAAACTGGACCTGGTACTGGAGTTTGAACTTTGTTGTGCGAAAATGTACAACTGTTTGTGTCACAGCGCAGAGACCAAGATTTGTCATTGAATCCAAATGAACATCCATTTGATCTTCCTGATCTGCTGATGTTTTTGTTTGAAACTGCAATATTAACTCCTCCTCCGCTCCACTCCACCTCATAGTAACAACGTCCGGTCAGATTCTCTCTGCTCAGGATCTGAGGCCAAAAGGTGAATCTGTCTGGATGATCAGGATAAAGCAGTTGTTGGTTCATTCTTGTTACTTTTCTGTTCCCCTCAGATAATAACAGAAACCTGCTTGCTGTATTTGGATCCAGGGTGATTTTTTGTGAACACCTTAAGAACTCAGCTCTGGTCTTTGGTTCTGGCAGTACAGCACCCATCTTTGTCACTCGCAGTGAATTTTTTCTCCATGTGTCTCTCAGGATGTTCTGTAGTTTGTCTCTGAGCTCTGTCACAGCTGCTGTCACGTCCTCAAAGTGTCTCAGAGGACGGATGTTGATGCTGGATGAGTGTGTCGACTCCCTGAGTGCTGGCAGTGAGGGGTAGTTGAGGAGAAACTGGGTGTGATCCTCTGTGTGTGAGAGCTGCTCCAGCTCAGCGTCTTTCCTCTTCAGCTCAGTGATCTCCTGCTCCAGCTTCTCCTGAACATCTTTGACTCGACTCACTTCAGTTTCCTGCTGGGATCTGATCTGCTGCTTCACCTCAGAG